TAACTAACTAACTAACCAACTATCACTCTTTCTCTCACTCTCCCTTTCCCTCTCTCATCTCTCTCTCTCTCTCTCTCTCTCTCTCTCTCTCTCTCTCTCTCTCTCTCTCTCTCTCCCTCTCTCGCTTTTTCTCTCTCTCTCGCTCTCGCTCTCTCTCTTAGCCTCTACATTTCTGCAAAATATCACCTGCAATTTTTTGTATATTGTAGGTATCACGCTTGCGTCACCTACCGGCACAGAATGGCGTAGAATAACCGGATCCCTATTGAGCATCAGTGCGAGCAGCAAGGGACACGTCGTCTGGGGCGTAAACAGAGCTGGAGCCATATACCGCAGGGTCGGAGGACTCACCTACGATTTGACTCCGCCTGTGTTGGACACTTGTAGCAGTTTGTGCTAGTAGCATGACGCACGTAGCGTGTGCTCGGTACGTGATGACGACACGGAATAGCTAGAGCTAGGTGTAATAGCTAATAGGTAGAATAGGTAGTGCGAGGTGCACGTGCGTTTATAACGTATAACGCAGACGCGGACGCAAACACAATGCATGTACCAGGGATGTACCACCAGAAACAGACACGCACCGTGCGTGCGTGCGTGCGTGCGTGCGTGCATGACCGCATTCTGTATCGTAATAATAATATAAAAGTTAATAATATGTTTGGGTGTTTAATGTATACATATATATTTAATATTTTCGTATTTTATTGAATGTATTTACCTAGTGCTCATGCTGTCGCACTGTTTGAACGTGAACGATAGGCGGCATGTCAATTGCCACAATCCTATATACGTATTCCTTCCATAAATATCATGATAATATATATATATTGCGTCATGAAAGATTTGATTAATAAACAGTAATTAACAATAAAAATGTTTGCTGTTTAATATATACATATATATATTTAATATTTTCATAATAAATTGAATAAAGAAGTGTATTTACATACTCGATGGCGGCATATCAATTGCCACGATTCCATATACGTATTACTTCCATACATATGATGATAATGAAAATTGCATTATAAAAGAAAGTGAATAATCGACCACACTTGGCGAGTGATAATAAGTTAATTGCAAATAATCTACTCGGTGATATGGAAGGGGCGCACCCAACCTACACATAAGTAGCGTTCACACGGTTATGGTTTGGCTCGAGCCAAATGGGCTAGATTTGGCTCGGGCCAAATTTGGCTCGGGCCGGTTTGAGTCGGATACTGTCTTGCTCTGTCCACTTCTGTCTTGCTCTGTCCACTTCTGTCTTGCTCTGTCCATTACTGTTTTGCTCTGCCCACTACTGTCTTTGTTCTGTCCATTACTGTCTTGCTCTGTCCATTACTGTTTTGTTTTACTCCATTAGGCATAACGGTATCGAATCCGACGGGCGTGGGGTGGAACCGTATACCTGGCCAGTTAGCTCACATCTCCGTCAACCCTACGACGAATCACGTCTGGGGTGTGAATTCAGGTGGCGTCATCTACCGGCGCCACGGAGTCGTATCGCCAAGTAAGAATTGCGTCAAATCCTGGTCAATCGTTGCTATTTTGTTTTATGTCGCAAGGCTTAAATTTTTATTTTGCTCTTTGCATCTTTAATTTTTTTATCGTCATCGTCGTCGTCAACGTTTTGCCCTTCATTCAGTTCACGGGCATCCAGTCACGGGGAACCTGCCACATTTGGGAACCAATTGGAGAAACATCCCTCTGACCGCTATTCACGTAGACGTTGGTGCCGCTGGCGTCTGGGTTATCGGCAGGTACGGTAACAAGCGGAAGTAGCGTGTTTCATTCAGGAATCAGTATGGCGCGCTCAGTATTGGCGAAACTAACCGATCTTCGCCGAATTTTTTTAACGCATTTTAACGAAATGCTATAATTGTTATCGATGCCCTTTATTGTTATTTTGTTGTCGCTTGTTGTTGTTGTTGTTGTTGTTGTTGTTGTTGTTGTTGTTGTTGTTGTTGTGTTGTTGTCATCACGAAGAAGCCCGTCGTTTTTCTCGCGGAGTTGCGTGTATAGGAATTATTCGTCTGAATTGCAACAACGTAGTCGCTTTTACAATTCAATCATTTTAATTTAATTTTAAAAGAATTTAATAATTCATTTTTTAATTTAGTGATTTTTGTTCGCCGTAGTAACGGTAACATCTATGTACGGAGCTACACCCAGGGCCCGGCCGACGTCGATGGAGTGTCGTGGCTCCTCGTTGGCGGCAGGCTGATTCAACTATCCGTCGGCAAAGGTGTCGTGTGGGGCGTCAACTCCGGCTTTAACACCTTCATCCGTATCGGAATCACGAGGGATGCTCCGACGGGCACGGGCTGGACGAACGCTGGGCGGCAGCTACAGCAGATCAGCGTAAACAGCGAGACGAACGAGGTCCGACGGAAAGCCGACGAATACAAGTTTATTTATTGATTATTATTTAATTGTTTGGTTTACCTCGTAAACGTCCAATTGAAGCCAACTTGCTCCCAACTGAAGGCAACTTTTCCCCAACTGAAGCCAACTTTTCCTCAACTAAGCCAACTTCCCCCAACTGAAGCCAATGTCCCCAACTGAAGTCAACTTCCCCCAAATTCCAGCTTGAGCGAGTAGTCTCTCTATAAACAGCATCTAAATTTTCTTCATTTTCTGCGAGCGAGTATGAAGTCAGGATTAATTGTCTTGCTATGGCGTCTGCAGCGGTCGGGGTTTCCGCAGCGGCGTGATTGCGTGTCCGTCAGTTCGCGGGGTCATAGAGCGGGCAAACGGCGCGAGAGAACGTTCTATAATCATCCGATTACTATGAATGATCACGCAGCTAAAGAGGAGCGAATGACAGAGACACGCATTTGATCAATGTGTTCTCTCTCTCTCTCTCTCTCTCTCTCTCTCTCCTCTCCCCCTCTCTCTCACGCCTTCTCTCTCTCTCTTCTCTCTCTTCTCCCCTTTTTCTCCTCCTTCTCCGGTCTTCTTTCATCTCTCTCTTAACTCATCTCCACTCTCCTCATCACGCTCTCCTCTCTCGATCCCTACCGATCGAGAGATATTCTCTCTCCTCTCTCGCTCCTCTCTCTCTTTTCTCTCTCTTCCTCTCTCTTATCTCTACCTCCCCTCTCCCCTTCTCTCTCTGCTTCTCTCTGCTATTCTCTCTCTCCCACTCCCTTCTCTTTCTTCTCTCGCTCTCTGTCTCTCTCCTCTCCCTCTTTCTCTTTCTCTTTCTCTTTCTCCCTCTCTCGCTCTCTCTCGCTCTTTCTCTCGCTCTCTTTCTCTCTCGCTCTCTTTCTCTCTCGCTCTCTCTCCCTCTCTCGCTCTCCCCCCCTCTCTCTCTCTCTCTCTTTCTCTCTCTCTCTTTCTCACTGAGCGGAACGTGCGTAATTTGTGATGCAATGTCCGCAGGTGTGGGGCGTTTCGCCTAGCAACGAGATATTCAGACGCACCGGCATCGTCAGCACATGCGGCCATAGCAACCTGTTTGGAACCGGCTGGGAAAGGGTCGAAGGACAGTTGAAAGTCGTCTCGACAGGTGGCGCAGGTGAGCAGCCGCCATGTTAGTGGCTTCACGTTAACGTGTTCTATACAACAGTAGAGGGCGTCCATAGGCAGCATGCCTAAATAAGCACCGAACAGAAATTAATTAAAAATAGTTTCGTCGCATATACAAGATTCACTGTATACATGCTAAATAACGACAGATTCAAGGCCCGGTCTCCACTCGGAAATTTTGCCAGCTAAACGATGCGAATGTCCAGCAAGTAGTCGGATCCCGCTTCTGCTGAGCGTAGACCTACCATACATCCTGACCAGAGGAGACGACCATACGACCATCGACATCTGTATACGTCAGATATCGGTGGATCCCATGGTGTTATCCTAAGGTGTTAACCTAGGGTGTTAACCTAGGGTGTTAACCTAGGGTGTTAACCTAGGGTGTTAACTTAGGGTGTTAACTTAGGGTGTTAACCTACGGTGTTAACCTACGGTGTTAACCTACGGTGTTAACCTAGGGTGTTAACATAGGGTGTTAACTTAAGATGTTTTCCTATGGTGGTAGTACGTGGAGCATCAAACCTTTATGCTTACCAGTTACCACTATCGTTGGCCATCGTACTCAGAAATAATTAGCTCGCGGTAGGAAAAATCCAACCACGGTTAAATTATACCCTCTTTCACACAATCAATGCCAATGATCTTACCGTGGTTGAATTATTTCTACCGCGGTAAAAATAGTTATTATAATATTAATTATTTTCTTTTATTATTTACTGAAATACAGACGTTGATGAAAGACGGGGTCCAATGGCGTGCACTCACCACGATTTCGGGAGCGTCCGGATGATGATGATGATGATGATGATGATTTACTATTTATTATTTTTATTTATTATACGACGACTAACGTAGCGGCTTCTTTTTGTTGCCGACGTTGCGCAGGCGTGTGGGGCGTGTCGCCGACGAACGCGATCTTCTATCGGCTGGACACGAACAATTACGGTCAGCTAGGTTCGGGTACGAGCTGGGTGCATGTCCCCGGCAGTCTGGCATGGATCAGCAGCGGAGACGGCTACGTGTGGGGCGTGGCCCCAGACTTTACCATCTTCGTGCGGATAGGTGAGTGATGCAAGCAGAACAGGGTGGTGTGCCAACATGTTCTGCTTGCATCTATGACAAATACGACATACGCATATATACGCGCTCCTATCACACTATTTGCCATAGGAAGATTCTTCCTACGACAAATATTGGCGAGTCAACTTCGTTTCGCTTTACAGCTGAAATTCACTGCTTGCGTTCATAATAGCGCGCCTAAACTCCTATATAATGCGTACAACACATACAACAATATTTGTCATAGGAAGAATCTTCCTATGACAAATAGTGTCATAGGAGAGCGTGTATGCGTATGTCGTATTTGTCATAGATGCTAGCAGAACATGTTGATTTGTCATAGGAAGAATCTTCCTATGACAAATAGTGTCATAGGAGAGCGTGTATGCGTATGTCGTATTTGTCATAGATGCTAGCAGAACAGGTTGGTGTGCGGCACGACGCCGGACTGGTGTTGTTGTTGTTGTTGTTGTTGTTGTTGTTGTTGTTGTTGTTGTGATGACAATGCAGAGGCTGTTCTGTCGTTGCGGCTCGTTTGTTTTCACTCTTGCTGCTCTCTCTCTCTCTCTCTCTCTCCCTCTCTCTCGCTCTCGCACTCTCTCGCTCTCTCTCTCTCTCGCTCTCTCTCTCTCTTTCTCTCTTTCTCTCTCTCTCTCTCTTTCTCTCTCTTTCTCTTTCTCTTTCTCTCTCTCTCTCTCTCTTTTTCTCTTTCTCTTTCTCTCTCTCTCTCTCTCAATGTTATGTTGGACCACAATGGAAATAAGTGTGTTAGCCACGCTTTTTGTGTTTTCATCCTCGATAATTTTCTAGCTGCATTTTGTTTTATTTATGCTGTTATCGATGTAATTTATGCTTTGTTAATTATCGAAATAAATAAATCAAATCAAAAAATCAAAAACTCTCTCTTTCTGTCCTGCTCTCTCTTTCTGTCCCTCTCTTTCTT